ACGCGTATCGCTGTCCCCGAGAGTGCATACTATACTACTACTCATGTACCTAGGTATTATTGTTCATTACTTTACGTATTGTATGGAGGTCAGATCCTAAATGCACCCGGAATAGGCGAGCTTTCAGCTTTCAGCTCCTCAGGTAACCAGCTGCGAGGTAAACCGCGCCATCTTTCTTCTCATACATGGAAAAAGCATCATCATGATTAATCAAATAATTAGAGGGAAAAGCAAATAAACAAGAAAAAGAATTAAGACAAAGAATGTCGGCTAAAACAGAAGACATCATGTCCGGGGGTGGTGTTTCCCAAACCCCGCACGTAGCTAAGCCACTTCTTGCTGAGTTGGCGGTGGTTGATTTTTCCCTCTTATCCGGGGATCTCTTTTCTGTCTTTTGTCGTCATTCTACTCGCTCCAGTGGTCTGTGGTCTGTCCATCGACACTGTCTAATCCCGGATTTGTCTTGATCTCCGGTCGGCCGCGGAATTGCCTCTCCTCATGACGATGCGGACTACTCTACTACGTACTTGGTCTTAGGACAGGTTTTCCATCGTCGTGTTGTGCGGGGTTGGGGACAGGTCTACAGGATAAGCCCCCCTGCCCCCCTCTGGTCTGCAAGGGTTCAAGATAAAGGATAGAATGAAAAAAAGCAAATATAGCGAGGCTATCTATTTGCCAGATACTGCCACTGATGATACGTCTATCGCTACTATAAAGTTGTCATTGTTTACAGTGATTTTGATAAGATGGTGATAAGGAATGTCCCCGCCGGGCAGCGTCGGCTGAGGAAAAGAAAAAAGGCCCAAGACGGGGGGAGGCTTGTTGAATGAATCGAATATTCCTTCACCCTTCCATTGGAGCAAGGTCAGACTTCGGTTCCGGGACGTAATCATGGTAACCTTAAAATGTCTCAGTATATACCCAGTCTAGCAGCTAGTCCCGTTCAGGATCAGGACATTCTTCCTCGTACTGGAGGTCCTCCAATGGTTCGGGATAGGTCCGCTGACCAACAAATCCCTACAGTCCCCGAACCCTGGGACTTTAGCTTGTACAGCATGCAATCTTGTTTCAGGAATGCAGCATGAAAGGAAGACAGAGCCAGGAAAAAGCGAGGATCTCTATGGCTGTGCGGATGCCCGATGTTTTCCTTCAACCAACTGCGGGTTAGTACGCTCTGATACCCTCGCGGTTGTGGCGGCATGGAGGCTAGTGCCTTGCTCTTTTGTGAGTGGACATGTCTCATTATTTGGTCATGACGCAAGGCAGATTGCATGTAGTATAGGTGCTAAGAGTGTGGAGTGCAGTTGCAATACATTCACGGACCCTGGTCCGCATACACTTGGTATTGAGCAAGCACCGACATGCGGGGACCAGGATGCTGACGATAGAGTCGAGTAGCAGATGAAATCGAACACTACTCATGTGGAGGGTGCGGTATGTGACTTGTCTGTCTGCCGGGGGCCAAGTCCGGCTGCATGAAGATGGAAGTGGTATGCACATATGAGCGCATCACGGATAATCTAGGGACGGGTAGTAAGGGCTGTTGATACTTGATAGTGGTCAGTACCTAGGTACCTCTCCCACACGCAGGTTCAGATGCCTTGAGGTGGTTTTACCCCTCCTTTGACCCACGAGACATCCCCGCGGAGGGGAGGGGAACTGGATGAGTATGTTGTCACCGGTGCGGTGCCCATGCTCAGCACGTTTTTGAGTCTGACCGCTTCCTCCCCGACGTTTGGACAGCTGGGGATGGGGCTGGTGCTTACACTGCTGATGACTCAAGGGGGGGAAGAATGAGGGGCTCATTACCAATTCCATTCCCTCGGCTCGTCTCATTTACTTGCGCTCTGGCGTGCCACGAAGTCATTGGAGTGAGGAGATTGCAACGATCTCGTCGTATCCTATCATCATCGTTGGCTCTCCTCTATGAATGATTCTTCATTCGCGCTGGCATTCTCCGGCTGTCTGTCACTTCAATGTTGGAACCACGGACCGATTGGTAGGGAGGCAGGGTACGGAGATAGAAGGGTCGTACCAACGTGTAGTATCCAGTAACAAATGAATCTCTAATATTGTCCAACTAAAAGAATAAGATTATCCCTGTCGGCTAGGCAATAAAGCATCGATATTCTTGTCTTTATCTTTATTTTGATTATCCTTCATTACTACGATAATCACTACAGTCATTACCATTATTATTACTATTATGATTATGTCTTAGTTTTGGTGTGGTCAGGATTTTACTAGGCAAGTCGGGAGGCCTGAGGTACGCCGTACTAAGGATTCAGTTCATTGAAGTGAGTGATTGCAAGCGGCCAAAATTCATTGGCCCGTCCGGGTGTATCTCGTGGGGGGGTTGACTGGGTTTGACTTGGTTTGGAAAACGGTGTGGCCCACTCTTGACAGCTTCCAAGCCTCTTCCATTCCTAATCAGTAAATTATCATAGCGGGTTAGCTTTCTTTTTTTTTTTTCCTTTCACGGTCAGGATCTTGCATCCGAGAACTCCTTGCTACGATCACACAATATTGAGACTACACCACCCGGGTCATCCGTGTATCAAATAGTACGTAGAATGGTACAGTACAGTACTCAATTCTTTTCAAATACCATGTCTTTTTTTTTCTGGTTTTCTTTCTGTTCCCCTTCCGTCTTGATTTCTCGTTCACCCGCCCTCCTTTCATTACCCCACCACCATTCCATGCTCATCGGCTTTTGAGAAAGAGGAGAGGGACGATCTCCCTTACTGCAAACTCCCCATATTAGAAATCCTTAGTCAGTTTTCATCCTTAAATTGTAGACATTTTCAATGTTAGCCCTGGATGGGCGGAGTGAATGCTTGAGGAGGTTATGACATCATTAATCTTAAAGCATGCCAGACTCAAACGAAGGAAGGTAGTATTGTTAACAAGGGGTCTCCACTCCCAGGAATGGATGCAGGAATTAGGGGGGAGACTGGACAGGGCAGAGGAAAAATGAAATAAAATGAGGGAGATACGGGGAAGAACAGGCTTGATTGTTTCCACCATAGTGGTTATAGTACCTTAGGTAAGATACTGACAGTACCAGCGTTATTGCATTAGTGTGTCAACTTCGCATGACGGCCTTGCTGTCATGTCATTACCGTTCTATCTGTAAGTTCAATACAATACATTCTAATCCCGACACTTGACAGCCCTAGGGTGGTATCGTGGGAGAACCGTTCGCTTTAGATCAGGGGATTTTCGCTACAAATCCTTCTGTTCATCTCCTTGGGGGGGGAGAGGAGAAGACCTAGGAACAGTAATAGTAGGGTTACCTCCTAGTCCACCTTAGGAGGCTCCCACCTTAGACTGGGATCCTAGACAAACCCATTATTGACATCCTTTCTGCCCCCCTCCTTTTCCTTCTTTTTCTTTCTTCAGTTTTTGATCTTCAGGAGAGACGGCTCAACAGGCCAATTTGCACCCCTCCTTTTTCTTTCCTTTCCAAATAACTTTCTTCCTATCTCTTTGTTTCTTTTGTTATCTTCATGGTTTCGCGGACCACAATGTTCATCACCCCCGTCCAATCGACGCATTTAAATTATACACAAAACAATTTGGTCTGGTGTTTACTGTAAGTAATAAAATACCGAGCGTTCCCAACTGGATGGAACGTTGCGCCTCCGAGGGCAGGGGGTGTTGGCACGTCATTCTATGATTTATTACCTACATACCCTGTCGAACACTGTCCTGCGGTATCTATTCAGAGTTTCTGTATACAAATACCAATTACTGGTGTCATAAGGGCCTGGATGGAAACATGCGATCTTCCAATAGCTACCATGATGTCTATCGAGGTAATTAACCAGGGGTGTCAGACTTGTCACGATTGTTGCGAGTAAAATGAGAAACTGAGTCAACACCAGACACTAGCAGCAGTAGTAGTAGTCCGCAGTACTAGTTGGTATATAGTGAGGTAGTCAGATTGAAGGAGTCACTGCCTGCCTGAGGCTGTTCGCTCAGCCTCGTCCATTCTTCCATGCGCCTTCGATGCTTCAGCCTTCTTCCATTTGATCTGAGGCCTCCCTCGTATAGCATTGTCATTAGCCTTGTTGTCCTGGTCTTCTCCACTGTCATCTTGCATCGTCCCAGCCTTGCCTCCTGGCGCTTCCCCCATTGTCAGCCAGCCATCCAAACGTACTAGAGGTGTCTTGTAATCAATAGTCCCATTTCCTTTCGCATTTCTTTGACGGTGGCTTGCATAGACACCCGCCGCTATTTCCAACTCGTCTGCTTATCTAGCCTCGTGATTACCTCCTATCAATGACTTGATTAGTTCTTTTTCCTCGTTTCTTTTTTCTTTTTTCGTCCCCGGTACTTTGCAGGACAGCCTCAAGGCAGAAAGTGGTCCCTTTCCCCTCCCTCCAACAATCAGAAGGGCGAATCCAACCCTAACATGTGAGGCTACTTCCGCGATTGGAGGGCGAGATGTTCAGTCCGTGACTCCCGTACAGGGCAGACCAAATCCCGGCGGCTATCACATCATCTTGAGTCACGTCTGCCCTGCTCTTGTTAATTTTTCTTGTTGCCTGGTCTTGCGTTACAACTGGCCAGGCAATTTGGTGATGCTGAATGTGTGGTGAGCCGCATATTCGTTATCAAATCGGCAGATCACACAAAGGGTTGCTGCCGAACTTACTTGCACCTTGAGGGCAAACTATCCTGTGGCAATAAGCTGGGCTGGTGATGGCGGAATCAATAGCCGCCGAATTGTTCGTAGACAAAGTCCTCAACTTCGGCTTCTAGTTTGTACCTTTGCTCAATTCAAAGGTACCTACCTATCTTTTATTAGGGCCATGCCTATCTACTCATTATACCATCCTTTCCCATATGCCGCTTGGGCTATTTACTGACCACAGAAGTAACGGACCAAATCCGACGTCCAAAAGTCCACGGTACAAGATATCGATTCTCAAATACTGTTCATGATTATGTACATTCATGAATGGCCCATAATTGACCAATGTCTATGATATGTAGGATTATCTCGCTATTGCTTCCGTTCTCGCAACTCTGAGCATACCGAAGTAGTTACACTTGACTTTCGGTCCGGTCCGACAAAACAAGCCACCATCGGATATAACGGCTGCCACACATGACCACGGAAAATAATGGAAGAACGTGTCGTGTGTCCTCTGAAGACACCCTTTCTCGCCTACAAAATTGACGTGGTCTGCAACGGTATCGCCGTTGTACATAGATTGTTGGACGAAACGTCCATCGGTGGTATATCCATTCAAACGATGAATCAAGCTGAGCCACACAAGGCCAATCACAGCCCCTCCGTTGCGGCATTTGCCCGAGGTGGTGGGTTCTGTCTGTTCCAGCAACCCACTGTTCCGACCAGTGTATTTCCCATTCAGGAACGGAGATGCCTTACATCTTGCTAAAAATAGCCCTATCCGATAGAGTTGGCCGCCCAATCGTGTCAAGGCTGGTGGTTTCTGGAATGCTTCGACGCTAGCCCCCCATGGACGGCGCAGTGTCAGAGATATAGACGATTGGAGAGGTTTCAATGGGCTGTGTTGCGGGCCTACGGTGGTGCGGCCGCTCCACCGGCATCAAGAGATCCTGGTCATTGATACTGTCGGCAACTGCTGGAAACACCCTGCTAGATCATTCGAGAATTTACTCTACCCCACAAGAGGCTGACACGAGTCAAATACCGCAAACTCAGCCATTGGGGATCCGTCCGCCCGGATTACCATGCCACGTTATGTCGACACATTGAATATCGCTTGAGACTGCAGTATCTGGAGGCAGTGCCTGAAGGGTACGTCGGACAACCAAATCGCAATGTCCTTCCATCCACCACAGCAGGGCTAGTCATCATGCATTCACCTCAGGGTGCCTTGCAATAAGATTTCGAGAACAGGGGAATAACGAGAATAGCAGACGGAAATATCCGTGATGCTGTGGGACCGCGGACTGTGCGGTGCACCCCAAATTCCGAATTACCGTCAATTCGATTCGTATATCGAAAAAATCAAACGCGGTCTTTCACTTTCGTCTGTTATTCCTCGTTTCCCATCTCCCCTTTCGTCCTTTTCTCCTTTCTGCCTTTCAACATTCGAAGCGCCCGTTGGTCCCCACTTTAAATTAGATCCGCCTTCGCACCCGATACCGCGAAGGTCATTACAATCTACACGAAACCGAAACAGGCCAGCTGTCCAACCGAGGCGGCTTCGCCGCAGCGAACGAGACATTGCGACGTGACCGATATTGAAGACCGGCCAGGGGCTTGCGGCTCAAGTAGCGCGGTCGGTATACCAGAACGGCCCTAGGCTATCCACGTCAGCAGTCAGGCTGCATGCCGGAACTATGGTCCACGAGGGGGACTTTTGACAATTTATACTGTCGCTAGCGGTGTTGAAGTCATTGATCAATCGCTGGGCTATGTATGTCGATAAGCGAACTGACTGGTCGGTCGGATTGATTGACAGTTGGATACGAAAACAAGGCTTAGCATGCCTAGGCTTAGTGGTAACACTATGGAGGGGAGAGGACATTCGGGAAATGGAAATCTGTTGCTTACTTGGAGCAAACAGGACCCTAAACCCAGAAGGCAAAGGTCCTCTCGACATCTTCAAAATTCCAGAACTGCAAATTGGAAAATCCAAATTTACAAAACATCAAGTTAGCAATACGGAGCTACCTCACACCTAAAACACAGCTCAATATATCCAAGGAGATTAGATCGGTTCTAGAATCCGGGGTGCATCAGCTGAAACATCCGCGGATCCGATCGTCACTACAGCTAGACTACACGGGGCGCACAGAGTGGCATGATCGTAATCTCACCAGCTTTTCGATACCTTGCGCAGGAGACTAATATTTGTGGGAAAGTCGGACATTGCGATACGTTGCTGTTGGATTGGATTCTCCCTTCGTGTGTCAATTTGAGACGTTGGGGTGGTGGTTTTCGGGGAATTGTGGGCGACATCATATAGGCGAAATTGGAGGGTAGATTGGAGGACCGGTTTGGGGTGTAGCACCAGAAAGCCACTTCAGGTAGAATGATTATGGACTCTTTCCATACTGGCCAGTTGACAATTTTCTGAGTGCATGGTGTTCTCAGATAATGAGCACCTACTGTAGATTTGGATAGTCAGTAATCAATGTCATGCTATGATGGCCGAAAATTATAGGAACTGTCGGACTTCATAGCCTCTTAATCAGGTAACAACTTGTCAAAGATCATAGACACCTGTATGATCTCTGCGATATCTTGAATGTATCCAAAGTAAGAATCACACCAAAATGTACATCTTTGAAAGGTGTTGACACGAGCAAAGGTTCCGGTCACCTGCCACTCCCATCGTTTCCACTTCCCCTCACCAACTGATGTAAAACCAAGACTTCATCATCACTCGCACCTTCATCACCATAATCGCATTGTTCTAAAAATAAGCATATATAGACGCACAAGCCACACTAGCCAGCACCATATACACTAGAAAAAGCAAAAGAACAAACCAATACACCAGACAAAACCTCCAGAATGAGCCCCACCAAACCCATCATCACCCCCGCATTCACCAAATCGCTTCCCAAGGTCGAGGTATGCACACCCTCCCCACAATCTCCACAGATGGTATCGAACTCAATAGCTGATCATAATGATTGATGGGGAAAGCTTCATGCCCATCTCACGGGCAGCATCAGTCGCCAATGTCTGCATGAGATCTGGGAGCGCAAGAAGGCTGAAAATCCAGCTTTCGATGTGCAAGACCCGTGGGAGGTGATGCCTCCTGGTAAGGTGGATTATTCTCTGGCTACGTATGTTTTACTCTCCATTCTGGCTATTTCATAATACGTACCCGAACTGCATCATGTGGAGAAGCATCCATCAGTGGACAGTTTCTGTTCACCAATGGAACCCAACGCGTCGGGCGGAATTAATACTGAGACGGATATCAAAAGCTTCTTCAACGTCTTCTCCAACTCAATCTACAACCTCTGCTCCGATCTCCCCAGCATCGCCTACGCGACGACCTCCGTGCTCGAAGACTTCTACGCCGACGGCATCCGCTACCTCGAACTGCGCACCATTCCGCGCCCATCCCCGTCTTTCTCAAGAGAAGAATATTTGCTCACCGTGCTCGATGCAATAGACGCATATGCCCACACCCAAGCCGCTCTCGATCCCGACACTCACAAAATGACGACCCGACTAATCCTTGCTATCGACCGTGGGCAGATGTCCCCCGCTGATGCGAACGAAGTCATAGATTTGGCAATTGCCCACAGGCACCGCGGTGTCGTCGGCATTGACATCTGCGGAAATCCCACGAAAGGCGACGTTTCTGTATTTGCGGGGGCGATGGAACGCGCGAAGAGTGCTGGGTTAGCCCTGACGGTGCATTTCGGCGAAGTGTCTTCTTCGACTCTCGCGTCGTCGTCAGCGAAGACCGCAGCGGAGGCGGAGAAGGCCTTGGAGAGTGAGTTGAGAGAGATGCTGAGCTGGAACCCACGCAGGTTGGGCCACGTCATTCATGTCCCAGTGGGCATCAAGAACGAAATCAAGAAGAGGGGCCTCGGCCTCGAGTTGTGTCTATCGTGTAATGTGCATGCGAGCATGTTCGATGGCGGGTTTGCGGATCACCATTTTGGGGAGTGGTGGCGGGAATCTGATTGTGTTGCTGTGCTTTGTGTGAGTCTTACTTTTTATCTATCCACCCCCCTTTTTGTCCTAGATTACTTCATCTTTGCTTTACATCCCCTCGATGCATGTTTTATTCTCAGCCTACCCGGTCTTTCCCCAATACAGAAGAGCTAACTGTCTAGACTGATGATGTGGGCTTCTTTTGTAGCCCCATGTCGAACGAGTATTTACTCGCGGCGGAGCATTTCAATCTATCGCGAGTTGATATCCTACGTCTGTGCCGGAAATCCTACGATGTTATCTTTGATGACGAGACTGAGAAAGAGCGGCTTCGGCAATTGCTGGATGACTTTGAATCCAGCTACGCGAAGTGAGCGTGCACATCATGAAGCATAGAGGAATGAATGCTATGGCATTATCTTTTCAAAAGGGTATACAAGTTATCAACATATCGCTAGATAATGCTGCAAATCAACCACGCCATCGGAATTTCCCCTCCTTCAGTGTCTTTACCACGCCCAGCGGCATGAACTCCCTGTTGACGGCCGCGAGACCCCCATATTTCTGCACCATCTCCGTCTGGTACAGTTCTGCCGTCCACTGCCAGTACGGAGACATACCGTACCATTCATCCGATATGATGTAGCTAGTGTGGGTGCTGTCGCCCGTCACCGCCTCATCCAGTGACATCTGGTTGCGGCGCAGTTCCGTCGTCTGGTTGATACTGATCTCCGCAGGCACCGAAATCAGGTCCCTGTATGCGCTCAGTAGCGAGGTACTGTACGACTCCGCGTACTGCATGTACTCGTCCAGGGTCAAGAAGTTTTGATCCTTTATGTCGAGCGTACTAGCGAGGGCGGCCAGCGCCGGCCCGTTCTTCTCGAAGACTTCCCTGTCGGACTGGTAAAGCGCCTCATCCCGCACGAATGCCTTGCGCAAGTGACCTTGCGGCGTCTGCTTGATATTCTCCCGCATAGCGAGGAAAGGAATATACGGGTTCACCAGCCCCATCCCCCCGAGCTCGACGGGGAAGAAGAAAAACCCCTCGGGGAGATCCGTGACACTAAATCGCTGGGCGATCATACCCCGCAGGTGGTCTGTGACGCCCCCAGGGCTGTCTGGGAACAGGGTCCGCTCGATGCGACTGAGGGTGGCAATGGCCAGGTCGATATGCGCTCTCCCGAAGCACCTGGCGGGTTTAGCGAAGTTGTTGGTGAAAAACCGCCCGAAGTAGCTGTTCCAGGCCTGGACCCACGCGAACACGCTGTTGCAGGACAAAACCTGGTGCCGCAGTTCGTCGATGTGTGTATCGACCTGCTCCTGGTCGATCACGAAGCGCCCTTCGTGTGGATCTAGCTTTAGGAAGCCCCAGCGGATGTCGCCCGCGGGGAGAGACGGGTGGACTTGGGTATCTCGCGGCTTTTGTTCAAGGGCCGCATCGTCACCAGCTTTGTTCTTTTGCAGTCGTACTGTGCCGGTCTTTTCCTCGTTGAACTCCAGACCCACGACGCGGGCAAACTCAGTCATCGCACCCCACGCCGTGACGCACGTCTTCTCACTTCCCCAGAACCAGAAGTCGTCGTGCAGACGGTACAGGTATGCCCCATCCGTAGCCTGATTTACCGTGTAGTCCATACAGAAGAGGACAACCTCGCCAAGACAATCGGACAAGGCATGGCACATGGGGATTCCGCGCCTGCGCACCTGGGCAGGCGCGTCAGAGCCGTCCTGAGTGAATTTCAGCGGCGCTTCCAGAAACGTCCTGAAAAAGCCGAGCCAGCTATCCGGGACCCCGAAATAGGCCAGCACCGTCAGCATCGTGGGATGCGGCAGGGAAGGCCCAAACCATTTGAAGTCCGACCGGACTACCGTAAATTCGCCGTGCAGAGTGGTCTGCAGGATGGACTCTGTGACCAAGAGATGTAGCAGGGAGTGCTTGGTATCCAGCGCATTCATCGGTTTGTCGTCTTCGTTGCCGTCGTCATCGCCGTATTGCGGGACTCCCGCTTCGACGGAGGCCGGAAGCTGCGCCATGAAGTAGTCTTTCTTGTAGGTTTCCTGGCGGTGGTCGTTGATACACCGGGTGGTAGAAGCGTCGTCGAGGAAGTATTTACGCCGATCCCGATACGCTCTCGGGATGTGTTCGCGGGCGTTCGTCCACGCGGGGCTGGAGAGAAAGGTCTCAAAGGCGGAGCGAAAAGCGACCGCCCATTTGAGACCAAGGTACTGGAACATGAGCGCATCCAGCAAATCCTCGTCCATGAAAACCCTGTATTTCCCGTTCAGCTGGCGGCGCATCTCCAAGGGAATGCCCTCGGCGGGCCAAGCCCAGCTCTCCAGAGACGCAAGACGCATGTTGAGCACGTCAACAACCTCCTGAGCAACGGAGGGGTTTCGCATGAATTCTTTCAATATCTCCGTCTTCTCCTTGGTGAGAAGGTCGGACTTGAGCAGCGCCTGGGACACCCACTCCAGCTCATCGATCGTAAACCACGTCCTCTTGGCAGTCATCTCCGTCCCAAACGACCTGATACTCTCACGGAGTGTCTTCAGCGCCTGCCGCGACAGGTTCGTCTTCGCGAACAGCGAATCGAGATACGCACGGATAGCACCCCGGTCTACATCCGCCTCCTTAAACGCCAAACTCTCCCACGTCGCCCGCTGCTCATGCATCTCCGCGCGTCCCACCTGCTCAAACCCGGCCGACTCCCCATCGCCAGCGTCACTCTGCGGTGCAGACCCGCTCTGCAAATCCGCCAGCCACTCCGTCACGAGCTCACTATAAAAAGCGGCATGCTCATGCCTCAGCTGCAAAAACCGCAACTCCTGCTCCAGCTGCCCAATCCAATTCCCCAAGCTCCTCTCCGAAACAGACGGGTCGTACCGACTCTGCAGGAGGAACCGACGGATATTGGCATGCGTAGCACGCGGGGTGCCGTTCTGCACAGTCGCTTCGTCGTCATCCGAGTCGTCGTCGAGGTCTTGGTCTTGGTCTTCCTGGTCGAAGGCATCGCCGGGGTAGCCCTTGAGCTTGGTGACGCCTTCGAGGAGCACCTGGGCTTTGGAGCGTAGGTCGGGGGTTTCGGCTGCGAGATGGAGGATCTCGTCTTTCCGCTTTTCGAATAGGATGCGCTGTTTGGAGAGCTCGTTGATCTTGGTGCTTGTTATGGAGTGGAGGGTTTGGGGGAGGGCGGAGCTTGATGACATTTTAGGAGCCTAAGTAAACAGCGCTTCTGATATAGTAGCAAAGCAATCTTCCTCAGTTGTAAAAAGTAGCAAGAAGAGCGACAGAGATGAAGAAATTTCCAAGTAGGCAACACATGTAAGCTGTCGTGGACGAGGGAGAATTTATGCAGATCGCGGTGGGCCACATTAATCGTGAGTGAGTGGATCCGCGATCGCAACCTAATCACGAATGGGATCAGCCTCATGAGTCAATGGATCTTATTGAGTCATATCTAAAGCTGATGTTTACGTATATTGGTGGGTATGTCTGAAAACATAGGTATAATTACAGTGAGTGGAATGTTTGGAGAGTGTATGTAGGACTCGCTTTCCTATTTTGTTCCCCGACTGTGCGGCTTATTGTAGCCTTGTAGTACACTTCGACGTATGACGATTGGGGAGGACAGAATTGGAGTAATAAGATAAGATCATCATTTACATGTGGTATTTAGATCATATTCGTTGAACATTAATAATGGTCATAATCCATACATATGTAAAGAGAGCCATAGGTATATATCAGAAGGGTCCCATCCCAGGATATTCATACATCTATAAATCCAAATATAAATCTCATATATATAAAAGTCAGAGAAAGAGAGAGAGAGAGAAGAATTAATAAAAAACCAAGCACCTAACCTCAACACTTTGCCTCCCCGGCACTCCCTCCGGCGTATTCGGATCCCAAAACGCCGAATGCCCCCCCGCATGCGCCACCCCCCTCCCAGTATCCCCCCCTTCCTTCCCAATCATAGTCTCACTCCACGAATCAAAACACTTAATAAGCATCACCTCCTCCGGCACCATATCACTCACGTAGTAGAACCGGTGCGCCTCGTTCGGCGCCACAACGTAGATCTCCCCGCGCACGGCGTACCCCGCTGTGGAGGTCGCGGAGCCTGGCTCGGGGGGCACCTCTTTGCCGGTGCTGTCTGTTTCGGACTGGGTGGCTTCGGGGTAGAGGAGGTCGACAGGGACGAAATCTTTGGGGGTGGTTGTGCGCCAGTCGATGACGGAGAGGGGGTAGTCTGTGGCTGGGTTTTCGATGGGGCGCCAGACGTTGATGATTTGGTAGCGCTTGCTTTTGTGGTTTGTGTCGGTTTTGCTGAGGACCGCGTCGGCTTCGTCGGCAGGAAGGTGTCGACGCACACGCGCCGCCGCCGCAGCGGGCGTCTGGTCCACGTGGAGCATTTCGACCGGACTGCGCGGGGACCCGGCCACTCTGCGACGGATGGTATGGTCGAAGGGGACGACTTTTTTGATAGCGGGGTGGATGGTGCGCAGGAGGGCCTCTACTTCTGCGTAGTAGGCTGTGCGGATTGCGGACTCGTCCGTGAAGGCTTTTTCGGTGGATGGGGCATGGTGGAAGGAGAAGCCTGCTGTGTCTATGGTGAAGTCTGTTGTATCCGTTGTTGTAGATTCAGGGTTGTGTTGATGGCGGAGGTTGATGACATGGCGGGGAAGTGAGATGAGGTCGAAGGATGAGCCTGGGCCGTCGACTTTGCTCCAGGGTTTGTGGAAGGGGGCTGTTGCGTCGGGGTCGTAGGATTTGGGGTCGATGTGTTTGAATGTTGCTGTTGTCATTGTCGTTATTATTATTATTTCAATGAATGGTTGGTGGGGGATTGAGTGGGTTGAGAGTATCAGGATAAATGTTGGAATGCCCACTCTTATTAGTCAGTCAGCTTGACCCCGCTATGAAGCCAGCCATCCCCGCACTGATAAGATAGATTTCTATGTATGGGATTCGGAGAATATCGTTCAGATTGATCTGAGAAATAAATTGAGAGGCATTACTTGGGGGACAAACAAGTAGAATCAAATGAACATGTCGAATTAGCAGCTGGTATCCTATCCCATTACCCATATAATAGAGTCCCAAAAAAAATAGAAAATAAAAAAAAGATTACAACCCTCTCAATCCACTTTTCGCTCCCTTATAATCCCCATCCCTCCCCTTAAACCCCCCATCTGCTTCTCCCTCCCCCTCCCACCGCTCATCCCCATACACATCCTCCCCATCAGCCACAGACATCGGGTCATCGTCAACATCCACATCAACCTCATTCCACACCGCACTCGTCGCCGGGATGGGCACAGCCCACGTCAGCGCGTAGTACATGGCGAACGAGACGAGGAACCCCGACACATAGTTGACGTTGTAGATATACGTCGCGCCGATCGGCACCTTGCGGCCGACGGCGCCTGCAAACCCCACGATGTTGACCAGCAAGCCTGAGAGATACGCCGCGTATGCGTGCCACGAGAACCCGCAGCAGTAGTAGTAGGGCGAGTCTTTGCTGGCGCTGTAGAGGTCCTTCATTTGGAGATAGCCTTTGCGCACGATGTAGTAGTCGCAGATCATGGGGCCGGCGATGGCAGATAAGAAAATCGAGTAGGCGGAGAGGTACGTCGTGAACTGGTTGGACGAGGAAAGTAGGTTCCACTATTCGATCATGTCTGTTAGCCAGAGGAACCATCGGATCAAACAAGAAAAATAGAATAAAACATACCGGGCACATCGCCAGACCGATCATCGCGCAGATATAGCTCCCCCGGCGAATGGTGATATACCGCGGCAGCAACGCCGTCATGTCCGTGCCGGCCGACACCGAGTTGGCCGAGAGGTTGGTACCCAGCTGCGCCAGCGCGAACCCTGTAGCGATGATGAACACCCCGAATCGCTGGCCCGAGCTGGCCCCGTCCAGGAACATGCCCAGCAAGTCCAGCGGGTTCCACACGTAGTCCCCACCGAAGATGACGGCCGATGACGAAGACGCGATGATGCCGATGAACGAGGTGATGCCGAAGCCGAGTGGGATGGTAAAGAGCTGCGCCCACAGCGCATCCTTGGGCTTGCGCGCAAATCGGGCAAAGTCCGGATCGTTCATGATCAGGGCCGCGAAGTTGCCCATGCAGCTCATGATCGATTTGACCACCGCCCAGGCCAGCTGGCTGCCGTGGGCCTTGTTCGGCTGGTGCACGATGGGGCCGATCCCGTTGGCGCGCGCGATCGCCCAGGCAAAGAAGGCGATCGCCGCGATGGGCGAGTAAATTGCCTTGACCGTGAACAGATGGCGCAGTTTCTGGATCGGGACCCACAGGGCCGGGAGGGAGAGCAGCCAGAAGAGGAAGAAGCTGGTGAAGTCGCGGGTGGTCACGTCCGAGCTTTTAGGGATGCCGTTGGGGATGGTGTTGTAGCTCGGCCAGATCGCCCGGATCATCAGCGTCACGCATTGACCTGCCAGCATACATTAGACCAGTCGCACGGATGACCGAAACCTTCAAAGACTCTTACCCCCAATATATCCCTGCACTCCATACCAAATGACAGCCATGACAACTCGATTCAGCACCGGCCAGAAAGAACCCCAAATGCCAAAAGTCGACCGAGCCACCACCGGAAAGGAGATGTGATAGACGGCACCGATGCGACCCGTCAGACAGACAAAGCACGCGGCCAGAAAGTATCCGATCCAGACGCAGATCCACGACTGCCACCAGGACAGACCATCCACGATCATCGAGGAGGAGATCATCCATGTGTTCTACTTGTATCAGCCGCCGTTCGGTATAGATATTTCGGAGGAGATGACATACGATATTCAGCGAATCGGCGATCCAAAAGGCGATGAAATTGTACCAGCTCCACAAGCGTCGTTCGGGGTCGACTGGGGGTCACATCACGGCAAACGGTCAGTCTTGGACGACTTGTCATGGTTCAAGGAAGTCGACGACGATCGGTCGGTGCGTCCCAGTCCAGGACATATAGGTAGGTAGGCAGGTAGGTAGGCAGGTAGGTTGCTCGGTCTCACCTGGCTGTAAATCAGGATTCGTCAACATCAACTGGGCAGTCGTCAAGCCTGACTCCTCCGTCACCTCCAACTTCTCCATCCATCTCTTCACGCGAGGCATCGTTCACTGCGGTGAATATGGTCGAACGAGTGGGAAGTGTCTCCCACAGATGATAGATCGATCGTAAACAGTCAAGGAAAGAGAACCCAGACGAGTCCCCCTTCCATAGATATATACACTCCGCAAAAGCCTCGGGATCAGACAGCAAGAGACCCATCGCCATGGTCCCCCCCGGTGAACCAATCGCTTGTCCTCGCGGGATGGTACGGGAGTTGGGGGGGCCCTGCATTGCATGACAGCATGAAGTCTGTGGCTGATAAGGACGACCGGGAATTGGCCCACGAGGTGCAGATCTGACCTCAATGGAATCCTTTATCACCCTCCATTTCACGGCCGATGGGACGTTTGATTCGCGGGACGCATATTAGTTCGTTATCAGCGACAAACCGTGGAAGTCAAAGCAGGTTGGTGGATCGAAAAGGGTAAGAGGAGAGGAAGATCCGGAGCACAGAAAGATAAGTGGGAAGACCCACTCGGTATCTAATCTGTCTCCGGATAAACAGGCTGACTCGATCGCATTGAGTAACTAACTCTTTGCCAAGAAAACAGCACAGCAAGTATAAGAAACTCAAAAAATATCAGCTGGGCCGATACTAGGGTTTTCCTTAGAATTATTTCCCTGATCCATGGTCTAGTTAAATCTTGCATCTATATAATTGTAAAAGTCCTCCTTGGGCCCTCGAGTCCACGCCCGGCACAAACAAAGCAACCTACTCGTTTATATAACTTGGGGCCATCGGCATCAGTGTGGTCGACTTCAGCAACTGCTATCCCGATTCCATGAGGATTGTTATACGGCTCCTCGTCGTTAACATATAGCAGCCAGACTTCCCTGATATCCTGCGACCTAGGACTGTCGTCGAATTCAATACGCACTGACCCACTTGAGACGGCACAGGAAGCAAACTCTGACTCGGAGTCCCCAAGGTCAACTAGCTCCGCGATACACTTGACAGTCAACTGGGCCGATTTGATTGCGCCGTTGGGCAGGTCCTCGTGAGCGGGAATCACCTCACACGAAACAACCTCGAATGAACTGTTGCCTTCGAAAGTATTGATCTCCCTCAGGTCTTGGTAATAGACGGGATGGGCACGAGACGCCCAGGACCATGATGGTGCGACGTACGACTCGTGGGCGGACCGTGGGGAGTAGTCTCTACGAGATTTCCAGATGAGGTCCTTGGTTAGGGTCGCGGACCAGACACCGGCCCAGTACGCGCCCTGTCCGAACCGGGTTTCCCACTCGGACACTATGCCCATGAACGCGGGCATCTTGTCCACCTCGTATGTTAAGGATCTCTGGGAGTACTGCTTGACAATCGTGACCCATTCTTCGGCATTGGCCGATTGATCATCGTAGTCTCCCCATTTTCCCCTCTCCCTTTCAACTACTTGCTCCACCTCTCGAAGGTTCACCAGAGCTTTTGGGTGCGCTGGGATCAGACCACCATCGGATTGGACGGTATGTGTGGAGCATCGCAACGCAGGCCGCTGGCCATGAGGAAAGAACATGACAAGGCGTGGACTGAGGAGCGCCTCTTGGAAAGTCCAGCCTCGTTCAAAAATCGGACTGTCAAAAATGTCTTCGTAGGAGAAGTCGCTCCGAATTTCTAAAACAGCCGCCGCCGCTTGGCTTGTGCCGTCGTATATATCAGCGTGCCATGTACGGATTGACTGGTTCTCACTACCGTCTAAGTAGGCCTGTCGCAAGAAGCCTTCGTTCGCAGATTTGGCCGACATGACACAGATTGTGCAGGCGGCTCCCGAGTAAATGGAGGCCATCTTACCCAGCTCGGTAATCTTGTCCGGCCCACTATCTTGCACAATGCAGAACGCATCCACCCAGAGGTACCGGAAGCCCATGCTAATGGCGACACGAATGGCGTCTAGTATGGTTTCGGGGATCTCTGCCGTGTCAATTCCGGCTGTGTATGAATTCAATCGGCTGGTCGTGGTCACGTTTGGCTGTGTTTTGCCCCAACAGTAGCTCAGGCAGACGTAGCGGACTGGGAAGACATCGATATCCGACATCTTGATGAGGCGCACCGTCGGTGACATTAATGTCCCAGAAACATAGAGCAGCATGGAAGGAAGGTCTAAGCCCTCCCGTGGCTTGCAATCAGGGTGATGAGCCGTACAATCATCAACCAAAGCGCGGAGAGCCCCGCCATCTCGAGCTAGTTGCTGTGCTAGTGAGCTCCCATGTTGAAAATCGCCATTTGCTGAGGCCAATCCAGAAAATGCGAGGTTGACAGGGCCAACTGTCTTATACACCCGAAAGTAACCAGTGGGTTCTGTATCCTCGTCGCCATTGCCAGCGACAGACACTTTGGACCACTTCCAAGCATCGTCGACGGTAATCATGAAGTCGAAATCAGCAAGCAGCCCACCTCGGGCATTATTAAGAAGCATACAGAAGATACACCCCCGAGACGCATTCCGCAGTAGCAAATCAGTGTTTTGACGAAAGGACCGCTGGGACCCAGCAAATGCATCCCGGTTCCCAAAGTATGCCACTGGGTCGATTGCCGTTTCAAAGGGTCCTTCATCAGTAGACAATCCAGTCGTACCTTTCTTGCCGCGATCAATCACAGCCAGGAGATGTTTATCAAAGACGGTAGTCTGACACCAATCACATAAGACGGGGCTCGATGGAGTCGAGTCTAGAGTTATTCCCATGGTGACACTAGGAAAGGTAGCACAGAAAGCTCCGTCTAGCAGGATGAAGGGTGAAGGAGGATTTTGAAGCTACCCAAGCGTCTGGCGTACCTAATGATGGCGGTAGAATGAAGGAAGAGGAGGCTGGGGGTTGAAACTATCCACTACTAGTAGTATGGTGGGGTGACAAGCTGGGCGCCTAAGGCACAATCTTATACACCCCGCATCCTGCGATTACTATCATGGCAAGCGCCCTATAGTCTATCTAGACCTTTATATGAAGACGAAGAAAAGAGTAATATTGGATATAAAAGACAATGATAGAAAGTACTGATCTAGAGATCACATCACCCCTTGTTCCACTTCCCAAACCTCACATAATCATCATACAGCCCCTTAAACACCGCCCGACCCGACACATCGAGTCCAGAATTCAGCGCCCGCATCGTATCCTTAGACATCACATCGAACACCGCATATAACCCGGGCATAATCGCCGCCTTGACGTCCGCCGCCAGCGATCCGCGGAGCGAGCTCTGCGCGTACTCCATCACCAGGTACTGCAGGTACTGGCCTGCGATGCGCTTGGCTTTCTTGGTCTGATCGGTGAGGCCGTCGTGACTGCCGCCGAATGGCGTGGGCCGGGACACGGCTGAGACGGTTGGGTCGCAGAGCGAGGTTAGCAGCCGGGTGAAGTGCACTGCGTGTGCGGCTGCGAGCTGTGCGAGCCAGTAGGGTTGCTGCGCCTGTTTCTTTTCTGTGAGGGTTGAGCGTGTGCGTTTGCGGGACCGCGCGAAGAGACAGTTGAGGAGGCGCTGCATAGCTGGGAGGATGAGGTGGAAGCGTCCGCCTAGCTTCTGTCGGTGGAGGCCTAGGAGCGTTCCTACTAGGCGGCAGAGGCGGATGTAGATGGGTGCCGAGAATGCAGGGTCGATGTGGGGCCCGGACTTGGACGCGCACACGGTGACGGCTACCAGGATGCTGTCGATGTTCCACTGGCTGACGCTGCGCGTGTGCGTGCGTAGGATGACGTCGAGACACTCTGTTGCGAAGGTAAACTGCTCGATCGTGCGGCTGAAGCGGAGCGATTCGGTGACTGCCGTGCATAGTAGCGACAGGGCCTTGGTGGCTTCGCTCTCCTTGTCGTCGAGGGGAGGCAGAGATGCTGCGGCAAGGCCCGCAATCAGCAGGTGGTACTCGGCGTGGTCGCCCGTGAAGCCCAGTTCCCGGATTTCGTGGATCCCCCGCGTCAAGTCCTCCAGCGACAGGGATCGGAACCGTTCGGTGGTGGACTGGATCAAGAGCTGCTGCTCTTCGCCGTACATGTGCTGCAGGGGAAGAGAATCGGCGCACTGGATCACAGGCAACACGATACTCCGATCGGATCCCCGACCGGCCAACACGCGCCGCCGGATGAGTCGCCGCAGGGAAGATCCCGAGTCGACTGACTTCTCCACGTAGCTCTCGATCTTCAGCAGGAACTTCTCGACATCCGAGTTATCCGTAGCAAGGTCTTCGAAATCTTCCAGCGCATCCAGGATCTTGATCAGCGTGATGGTCTCCCCCATCTCCTGCTTCTTGCACTGATCCCTGACCGACTTCACCTCCATCACCACCAGGTTAAACACCTTTTGGCGGCACGTCGCGAGCTCCGTCTCGTCGACAACCCCCGTGAGCTGTTTCCGGTGGATCCAGATCTGGGACAAGGAGATCCGCAGGAAAAAGCAGTCCATCGAGTCCCGATCGAGAGACCGCAACTTGGACGCCTTGGCTAGGACCTTCTTGGACATCTTCTTGAACATGCGACGGCGGTCGTCCTCCGACAAAACCAACAACTTGGCGATCACTGCGCGGTGGAGATTCCGGAACGCCTTCATGATCTGGAGATCGACATCCGTCCGCTGCAGCGTAACCGCCTTGGCCATCGTCCACATCGGCTCCCAGTCGCTGGTCAACCCGGCTGTAGATTTGGGCATGTCGGCCAATTTGGCCATCAGTGACAAGATCCCAACGGTGACAGTCGGCGGGCTATCGCCCTGAAGAATAACCTCCTGCAGCAAGTCGAGGACAGTCGCTCTCTGCCGGCGGGTGACTAACGGGGCCGGGATTCTCTGCAGACTCTCAATAAGGAGTTGGCGACTCGAAGTATCGTCTTTAACTTGGGTCGAAAGGACCTTAATCAGGTCGACGGCGATGGCAGGTGCTGCTAGAAGGTATTCGTGGCACACCACGGCGGCCCAGGCTTGCAGAAACCTCGCGTCTGGGTGGACGGTCTCCAGCGCTGTCGATGAAGAGTGGTACTGCGATGTTGCCAAGGTGAGCATGTGAGCAAAGAGAGCGTGCCTAGTCTCCGGGGCCACAAGGGGCCAGATATACGGGTCATGGATGAGTGTCACAATATAAGCCAGGGCGAGCGAGGAGGCGGAATCCAAAGTCTCCGCGCGGCCGTCCCACGAGGACCCCAGGGATAGTAGTGCATCTTGCGCGGATACCGATTGGATGAATGCGGCGACGTCGCCGGTTAGCGAGTTGAATTTATCGGCATCACGGGAGTCTCCAGACGCGTTGACGGCGGTGAGGGCAAAACGATACGCTTCGAAACACTCGAGAGCTCCACACGAGACTTTCATCTGCTTCTTATGGAGAGATCGGATCGATTTGGAAGCAACATCAACCAACTTGATGATCGCTTCGCTGATGGGATCGCCAGTCGCTTGCACGTTATTCTCGAGAAGATTGCGCGCAAACCGCCACAACCGCCATCGCCAGTGGGCAGTCTGTTTTGAGGATAGGGTCGATGACATGGTCTCGACTATCGAGGCCAAAGCTTCGTGAACGTCTGGGAAGTTCAAGCTTCGACTCCTCAAGCCGGCTTCCAAGATCACAAACTGCGCATATGCCCCGGGGGTATCTGATACCTTTCCAGAGCTAGATCTGATCTCCTGCGCCGCAGCACGCATCTGCGCTGTCGCATGCGCCTGGACAAGCGGACTGCGCATGAGATCGCTGTAGACATTGCAAACATCATCATCCTCCCACACGGAGAAGAGGCTCAACTTTGCATCCTGGGACCGCGCCTCTTCCACCAGAATAAGTTGCGCGTACCACGCTTGCATGAAGGAGGGCAGATCACGGGCGCTCATGAAAGCACGCAGTAATGGTATAACGACGCCGTTTTTAATGGTGTCGTAGTTGCTGTCCGTTCGAGTCGCACCGCTGCGCCAATGGAGAATGACTTTCTCCAGCAAAGCTTCCAACAGTTTTGGCGCATCATCCAGGCCCGAATTGGGAAGAAAGATATCGGCACCCAGCTCGATGAGAAGGGCGGTGAGGCTCCAATCAACCTGATACAGGCCATCTTTGAGAAGACCGGTATACGCCGCATGCGTACGGAGGGTGTGGAGAGACAGTTGCACATTTCGGGTGAGGACGACGCGGAAGAGAGCCTTCAATATGGTGACGAACTCGGCGACATATGTCGTGGTGTTTTCCGTCTTGACCACGGAAAACGCTAGCTCCGCTACGGCAACGAACAGCGTCTCCAACCAAGGAGCCTCGTGAGTCTGGCGCCGGAAAGTGTCTCGGGGGACCGAGCGGGTTGCAATATCGAAGAAATCGGGCAGCAGCTCGGCTGTCTTCCATAGACCATTATCTTTGGTCTTAGAGTCACTAGAGTTCGTGGCGTCGAGAATCGGTCTGAAAGTGTCTGAAACCGGCTTGACTGCGCTCCAGTCGGGCTCGGGGGCGGAATAGTCGATACCAGATCCTCCTCTATCGAAGAACGCGATGCGCGCCGGAAGCACCACATGGAGAGCAATCAAACGCTCCACCCCATGCAAGACATGATTCTTCTCGTCGGTGTCCAGGCGGACAGATCGGACGGCAAACTGTAGTCGCAATGCGCTTTCGAAGCAGTACTTACCAAAATGTTCCTAGAGCATAGTAATCAGCATCACAAGCAACATATACGCTTGAAACATGTAAATGACATACATTGCTCGATCCATTGTTTGCATCGTCCCCGCGATAAGACCTCAACTCCCACAGATCCAAGACAGCGGGGAGCACATAGAGCAAGTGTTGCAGGTCAGTCGTCTTGCGCGGAGTAGAAAACTGGGACGTAGCCACAGCAGCCAGACTGAAAGCCTTCCCCAGCGTGACCGCCACCGACTCGGATCCACCCTTGAGCGCATGTTTCAAATGGGACGCGGCAACCTCATCGACACCCGCTTCCCTTGTCAGGAGCTTGACGAGGCTATACAGACAATCCAGCGCGCGGATAAAGGCCAAAAAGCACGACGCCGGCGTCTGCGGCTGATCATCAACATCCATCGGGTCCGCACCACCCGCATCTCCAGCCCTCTTCCGCTTAGTTCCCTTCTTGTCCGTCTGCGGCCCATTCGAGCGCGGGGAATCGCCCAGCGTCCGACTCGAGTCTGAATCCGCGGGGAACAGCTCCGTTGTCCCATTCTCCAGACCGGCAAAGACATCGTCCTTCAAGTCGGCGATCGCAAGATCCAATGTGCCCAGGAACTTCTGGTCCTTCAAGGTCGTCGCCAGCGTCTTGGGCGGGATGAGATCGATCAGTTGTCGGAGTAGGAGAAACGAGGTCGGTTCGACGCGATAGTTCTTGCCCATCCGCAGCTTCTTCAGGAGCCATCGGAGGACCCATTCCTCCTTGGGGGCGGCGTGAGTCTGTACATGAGGGGTTCGGTTGATGCGCGGATGACTGGCGCACAGCGCGAGGTCCAGGCCGATAATCTGGGCGGCCTCGCTCAGTTGCGACGACGGCGACGCGGTGCCTTTTTCGAGACGGAGGAGAGCCTCTTGCGAAGAGCGCGCACGCTGCATAGAGAAGAGAAGTTAGCTGATATGCAGACTTTAAATTCTTTTTCTATTTTTGTCCGAAGTGAAATTAGTTCAAAGAGAAGATCTGGATGGATTCTCACCTCGGCGAAAGCAGGCATCCTAAATCACGTCGTCCCGTAATCCAATTATGATAATCTCAAGAAACCGATCTGCCTCTAATCAGGGCGGAATCGGCATGGTCGAGTGGTGGAGAAGAATCAAGAAAGAGAGTTGACCTGATAGAAGAAGAAGATCTAAAGGGAAAAAAGATAGTTCGTCCGTCCCGCTTCGACCCAAGCCTGACAGGACGGTTTGGAAGCGACTAAACCGTAACGGGAACCTACCTCTGCAGTTTTTCCCGACCGCCTTTGCCCGAAGCTCAAACGTCGTACCCGAACGCTTCCATCGTCGTCACTCCTGCTTCTCTTCTATTTGACTTGTCTCTCAGCTTTCTTTCTAGACTTAATCTCCCCACCCGTCTATTGCATAGAGTAGGTTCAATCGCACTGCAATCAGTTACAGAAATACACTCTTATTCGGTCCAAAGCTAATACCTCTCCCAGTCACCGCAATGGCCGAATCCAACGACTCCATTGTCCCCCGGGCCACCAAGCCCGTCAGCGAGGCCTTGCTGAACGAGAAGGTACTGTGACCTCTCACCCTATCCTTCCCTCTTCTTACCATCCGCCTCTATCATTCGACATCAACTCCGGCATCCAATGGAGTCCCCCCTCCCTTACCCCCTCCCCCCGCGGGGAATCCGGAGCGGGACGATACACAACCCAAACACCGAATCAATAAAGAAACCCAAGCTAATAGATCAACCCTCACAGTGGGATCGCGCCATCTCCTCCATGATCATCCGCTCCTCTCTCGGCCTGTCCTTCGGTGTCGTCTTCTCCGTCCTCCTGTTCAAGCGCCGCGCCTGGCCCGCCTGGGTCGGTCTCGGTTTCGGTGCCGGTCGTGCTTGGGAGGAAGCTGACTGTATGTTTATCTGGACCCCTTGGCTTGGTTTGCGTCTATGATACTGATTCAAACCCGACAGCTTCGTTCCGCCGGGGCGACTCCCCCGTTAGAGATGCACTGCGTAGGTAGATTGCGCTGGGTTCAGCTTTGACACTGTGTATGATACCTGTAGAGCTGGGGGACAATCAGATCGCGTTGGGGTTGAGAACATATATACGTTTAAAAGAGGTTTCTACTGTCTAGCATGCAATTGATTGTTTCTGTTTGATATCTGGGGTATACCGCAGGATTGTATCAAGATACGAGGGAGGACATCCTCAGCTGATCCGTCTATTCCATTTCGCCTGGTTTCATGCCTACATGAGTGAGGCAAGCTAAGACTAGACCTAGAAACAAACACTAGGGGAGGTATGGCCAACTGGCTGACCGGACCATACATGCAGGCCATTAAATGGGATGCGCGTGTAAAATGGAATGATAATGATAGTAATAATATAAAAATATAGGAAGAATCGAAACACCTGGAGAGAGGAGATCACACAAACATGGCAACCGATACAAAGAAGTGGAGAAGAGCAAAAGGACAAAGTGAGTAAACTTTAGCAGGATCCAAAGTCTATCGACAAGGGTATCATGATCATCAGTCGTCCGAAATACAAAGCTAAGGTCGAGTAAAGAGGACGGAGCGGAAAAAGAAAAAAAAAAAAAGGCCCTCACACTGGAGGAGGATGGGTTGAATGGTTACCAAGGTCTCATAACATAGACGATGATGAAGGGGTCTCGGATGGATGATCGAGATGCTGCAATCCAGATGTGTCGAGGTCTGGTCCACACGCAGACGACATGGCAGGTTGGCTTATACCCAACCCGTGGTTTTCTGGCGGAGGTGGCTCCAGAGCTATCCCGTTGTGGCCATTATGGGTCAGGCAACCTACGCACTGGCAGTCGCTTCCGCATTGGCAGCTCCCCGTCACGTCCGAGCAGGCCGGCTGGAATCGGACCGGATACTCGAGCGTGTAGTATTCGGAAGTGTGCATTAGTTGCTGGGAAAAGTCGGTCGGAGGAGAGGAGAAGCCGTTGATCGGGTCGCTTGAGGCTGAGACCTGCTCACTGTACGGAGTCATGTTGATTTGCTGGCCAAAATCCCCATACAGATACTCCTCGGACGGGGAATCCTGTTGTTTCATAGGCAATGGCACATTGGGGTAAGCGTCGAGACCATTCGCATTCCGGGGTGTGCCGTCTAGAGCAACCATGAGACCCATTTCGCGCACATGCTCTTTGGTAGTGTTGTTGAAAGGATGGGTCGCACAGCCCAGACACTGACATTCGTCTCCACAATCGCAGTTATGTTTCGGTGATCCATCAAAGGCGGCTGGGACTGCCTGCGTAAAGCCCGCTGCTGAGTCGGGAACGGTCTGTGGCGTTGTAGAGTGGTCAAACCCATTGCTGCTAGGCATATTCGGGTCATGGAAGCCGAATGACGGCCCCGCCGAGGGGTGGGACATATAGCCCGCCACGTAATTTGGGGGACCCGCCGGGGTGTGAGGGGTCGAGAAAGACGGCATGAAAGAGGTGGTGTCAATGGCTTGGAAATCTTCCCAATTTGGCACGGGAGTGTGTGATACAGCGGGGTAGGGCGAGTTGTCGGTGGCATAATATGAGCTGGCGATTCCATCACTTCCAGAATCCACCTTAATCTGTGGTTCCGGCTTTTTGCAACAAGAACCCGAGCCCGAGCCTGAGGCCGAGCCCGGGGTAGAGGTCTGCGTAGGTGGTTTGGGGGTGCGAGAAGAACAACAAGAACCGCCGCCTTTCGGGGCCGAGGTCTCGGCAGTGCCCAACACTTGGTTCTGTGGCATGAATGTACTGGATGATGTGACGCTCTGTCGAAGTGTGTCATGCGAGGGGCCAGACCCCGGGTCCTGTAGGTATGGAGGCTGGGGTGAGGCGCCATTCTCTGCGGAGTAATTCCCAAAGTGCGGTATTGCGTCCAAGGCTTTGACGAGGTTCTCGGATGGGGCTTTGATCTGTCGTTTGCTGGGTTTCTGGATCTTGCCGGGTGTAGACGAGGGTGTTGGAGCAGTGAGGGCCGGCGGTGAAGTGGTGGAGGGGGACTGGTTTCCATCCACAGGTACCTGATACACAGGTCTACATAGACAGGTTGAACCTGCACAAATACATGTGTCAGTGGGGGCTCTCGACGAACGGGGGGACTGGATCGTGACCGACCTTTGGGAATACGGATCATGAACGCATAAAGCTTCTGGCAGCTGCACGTCCCCTTCGGATGAGGGCATTTTGCCAGTGGACGTCCGGCTTTGGGAACTTTCATCATCAGTCTGTCAAAGTGCTGGCATTTTGACGATCGATGGCCACGGATGCACGGTTCGCTGGGGCCAATGTCAGTCGAAACTGGGGGGTATAACCTCAAAGTTAAAGGGCACCATACCATGACCATTTCGCACCTTCTTCATCATGAGGCATGATGACCAAGGGCCAGCCCAAAACCCCTCAGAAAGTGACCAGTGGCTTACCAGCCAGACACTATTTCCTTATCAATCCGACGCGATACTGCGCAACAGCGCTACCCCGCCCCGGTGACTCCGATACTCCTCCCCGCCGTTCGGCGAAACCAGAGTATACAGGATTGAACTAGTGGGTAATCTCGTGGGTGTACAGTTAACCCGCGCAATCAATCCGGCAGTCAAATCAACAACGCAGTCGGTGTCCAGGCCAGGTGGAATTGCGCAATCCCGTATGAATGCCAAGAGGTGCACAGATCAGAGAGAAGAAGGCGGGCAGAAGACGAAGATTACCGTCGGGGAGCCAATAGGTGGGGCGGATTATTCACCGTCACTTGTCAGTTGGCCCAGTGGATGTGGAACTGTGGGCATCACCAGTGGGATTCCACTCCGTCATTTAAAAGTAATTGACGAACTAAGAGATCGAAGTCACTGACAGGGTTATACCGAGTATGCCATGCGGGGGAAACCTCAGCTCATCTTGTCATGTAAGAGAGTTTCGGAATTCGAAGGTGGATGACTGTCATTCCTTGTGCACTTTCATCCCTCGGATATGCATTGTGATTGGAGCCTGAGGTCACCCACCCCAGGCACTGCACGCCATCTGGACGGCCGGATCGGGACTAGCGTGGAACAAGTGCCTGTCTGCCTCAGGCAGTGTATCTCTCCCGTGATCATTGGGCGATGATTGGAGACGGACGGGGATTATTCGATCCTGATGATGCCCGTTATTTATGAGTCCGGATATTGTTCACTCCATCCATCTTCAATCGACCACACTTGTCTTTCGTTTCCCTCTCTTCTCCCTTCTGTTCTTGCCAGTTATATAGTATAGCTGGTCTCCATTTCCCACTCTATTGTTTTTCCTTTTCTTTCTTTCCGTACGTTCAATGACCTCCGACAACCACGATACCCCCGGCCAGGCGCCGCCCACTGCCCCCGTAACGCGCGCTCGAGACTACTTCACGGTCCCGGCTCCGATCAAACGCATCTTCGATCAATTCCCGCTCATCACGTACTCTCCCAATGAACTACCCCAGAGCGCGTGGGCCACCCAGCACGGCAATCGGCTATTTGTCTTCGCGGATCCGGGGAGTGCAAGACGGGGAAGACCATCCTTCAACCCGCAATGTCTCAAGTGGCAGGTGGGTTACTTATTCATGGATCAACATACGACGGGACGAAGCTAAATCATGTCTCTATCCGTATGACAGGCCTACTTGAAATTCGTGGGAATCGACTTTGACCTCGTGCCCTCGACGAACCACGCTTCCCCCACGGGGGCCCTTCCATTCCTCCTTCCTGCCCACCCCGTCGGCGGCAACACCCCGATCCCGTCGGGTAAACTGCAGAAGTGGGCAATCGAACAGGTCCACTGCGAAGAGGAACAACAATTGAACTTGCGCTTCGAGGTGTATGCGTCGTTGCTGGATAACCGGTTACGGAATGCCTGGGTAGGTCGGCACAGCCGAGGTTGCGGGATAGATGTTGAACATGGACCGCGCTAACACGCAGACAGCTCTACGCCCTCTACTTAGACCAGGCGAACTTCAACGCCGTCGCCCGACGGATCTACGTCGAGCCCTCGACCACCAACGGGCTTGTCCGGGCTGCCCTGTCGTTTCAGCTCCAGCAGGCCGCGCGGGACGAGCTGCTCAAGACGGCGGAATACATCGACGCCAGTGCGTTGGAGGCGGGGGCGGGCGAGGCCTTGGAAGCCCTGGCGACACTCCTCGGAGACGACCAACATTTCTTCGGCCGGCCGCACCCGGGTCTGTTCGACGCCAGTGTGTTCGCTTACACGCATCTGATCTTGGACGAGCGAATGGGTTGGAAGCGCAACCGGCTGGGACAGCTGCTGCAGCAGCACGAGAATCTGGTACAACACCGAGAGAGGCTGTTGAAGTTTTTCTAAATACGAATAAAGAAAAAAAGAGGAAACAATAGACATGTACACTACCCACCAACTAACCTACCCACCACAATAACAACGCATTCGCCCTCCAAAAGAAACAAAGAAAGAATCAGACAGAATCAACATCAAACCCTAGATCCTCCGAAAACAAACCCCAAACCAAACCACCACCCCAACCCACTTCCTCGCCCTCTCCCCCAAAACCCCCACCATCCCCTCATCCACCCTCCTCTCCCTCACCTTCTCCTCTCCATCTAAGTCAACAACCTCCAATCCATTCTCCCCCGCAACCCTAACCACCTCCGCAACCCCATAAGAGTAACTCACGGGCCGAATCTTCCTCCCGGATCCCGGATCCACAAACCCCGCCTGGCTAATCGCTCCCATCTCCGCATGCATATTGGTTAACAGTAGATACCCCCCAGGCTTCAACAGTGCCGTCACAGCCATGAAGAATTGGTCTAGAGGGACGTGCTCCAGCACCAGTGTCGAAATCATTCCGTCTGCGGATGCACTAGCTAGAACGCCCGGGTCTGGGGTTAGCAAGTCCAGAACAGCGAGTCTCACCCGCGGCGCTGATCCCGTTCCAGCGTCGGGGTCGACTTCGGCGATGCGCTTGCGCGCAACATCTAGCATGCCAGGCGATGCGTCCAGCCCGATTATCTGCGATGTAGGCGGCGCGTGGTGCATTAGGTGCAGGGTGTTTCGGCCGGTGCCGCAGCCGAGATCGATGAGTGTTTTGTTTGCGATGGTGGCGGTTGTGTCTTCCACGCGGTGCAGGAAAGCCGGGAGAAGCGTGCGTAATTCGAGGGTGTCGAGGGCTTGGAGGAAGTTGCCGTCTGTGTCGTAGATCTGTAAATATATTAGTATTGAAATAAGTATACCATCAGGAAGAGAGGGGATGGATGGAGAATAGTGGGCAATGGGAGAGAAAGAAGACGACGTAAGTACCTCCGCCCATTTGTTATATGCGTCGACGGTATCCATGTACTGGATTGGGTGTTTGTTAGGGTTGGTGTCTCCTGCTGCTGCGAGGGATTGTTGGATTGTGGGTGTTATCGTCATTTTGGCTTTATTTTTACGGTTTTCGATGCTTCTATATGTATTTTGGGGGCCTTTTGTAAGGGTGTCTCTGAGAAGTAGGTATGAAGGACAATGCTGGACGATACAAAGACAAGCGATAGGTAGGTACAGAACTATGAAATCGCACTTCAACCCAAACGGTCTTTATAGATAACCATACCATAGTGACTTTTACCTAATGTGTATACATCTGCGGGGATCTATACGATGTGAGTCATCTCATCACCGACCACTGAAACTGCGAGCCCATGCACCCAAGCCGCTGTCATAGGTACTCTGCATGGACAAGCGTCTGCATATCGGTTGCATACAGCGGGGATTTATATGTCATGTGGGGTTACGAGGTATGGTTTTTGTAAGATTGAAAGAACAGATTGTGAGATTGATTATTATCGTTTCCTGTCATTCCCATTCTACTCCAAAAGTGTAGAAACATGACACATAGACCGTGAGCCGTGGAAGAAGAAGAAAAGATGAATGAGTGACGAGAAAGTATGAAATGAATTGGGAAGGGAACGCTTGATCCGCTTGATCCAACGCCGTGCCAGACGGGTGCTGTGTAACAAAACGTGTATTAAAGAAAAATGGGGAAGAAGAAAAGGGGAATAGAAAGGGAAATGGAAAGAAAAATAAAGCAAGGAGGGTGATAGAAAGTAAGAACCATGACAAAAGAAACATTGCCAGTCGTGCGTCATGCTCATGCTCGTGCTCATTATACATGCGGACTCAGATCATAAACGTCAGCACACCGTCGCTCCGAACGGGGCCGTTTCTTTGAGATCCTCTACCAGGTCTTTGACGTTGTTGAGGTATCGTCCCAGTAAGGCCTGTTTCTCGTCGGTGGTGCGAGTGTCGCGAGGCCCCCGGGAATTTCTGTGCCCCGGAGGGCTGTGGGAACTTCGCGACATCTTGCTGGGGTTGCGCTGTAGGCCCGGAGGGGTGCCCGGGGTGCCGGGCCGCGATGGAGTTTCCGGCATCAGGTAAAAGTAGAGAAACTCGACCAGCTTGAGTTTCACCTCCCGCGACGTGGCGCGCTGTTTGAATAGCGACGTCACCGTGAGCAGACCGTCCAATTCTTCGAACGTGCGCGTGTTGGCGGGATGGTCGAGCAGCGCCGTCACCAGGGTCAACAGGGTGGCGGACTGGATGGCCGGGCAATTGATCGGGTCGAGCAGGTCCAGGAGCAGGTTCATGTAAATCTCGCGCCCGAACAGGGTCCGCGACGGCGGGTGCAGGAGCAGCGCCCCTTGGATGAGGTCGAGGGTAGCGAGGATGAGGAGATCGTTGGTTCCGTTACTGCCTCGGCCTAGGAGATGCTCGAGACAGATGACTAGGCGCATGCCGACTGTTCCGAATTGATTAGTGCCCGCCATGGCTGACGACAGTGCAGGTCCGGTCGGACGTACCATTCCATTGAAACCCCTCCTGCAACTTGAAAAATTCCCGAAAAGCGAGGTCATCTTCGAGTTCAGACAGGGATTTCGGGACGAGTTGTGGACCCCCGAACGACAGTAAGGACCGGCGTTTGTCAGACACCGGCTGTTTCGACTTGGCCAGGCATATTTGTGCGAGGAGCCCTTCGACCTGGCGTAGCCCTTTGCGTACTTTGCTGGGCTCGTACGAAGAGAGGTAGTCAAAGGAGTGCGCCAACAGAGCCTCCATGAGTACGGAACCAATGGATTCGGAGGAGAGGGTAAATGGATAGAAGGGGAAGAAATAAGGGAACCAAGTCTAAGGGGAGTGTGCGTGGGTGTTTGCGTGCGTGCGGACAAGGCCAGTGTTTTATCTCTACCCACCAGTGCCAAGCCAGACAACCGCCGGGGTGATGATGATGTGTCCGACGAAGTGGAGGAACAGGGAATAATAAAGTCAACCTGAGCCAATCCAGGAACTGGGAGGGTGCAGAGCTAAATTTAAAAGGAATCACCTTTGACGATAGGATAACTGGACCAAATAGTCGGCCGTGGATACTATGGAAAGATCAGATCCACTTCAGCTGGTGGATGGATCGGAGGATAGCCAGGCTCCAGCTGAGATGGATGGTTCTCTCTCTCCACATCGGGCCATCCACTCATCGCGTTGCCCCGACGACCATCGCCCATCTCCGGTGTCTTTGTCCACCATTTCTTCTACCAGGCTTCTTCGGCACGATCTCGGAGACAATGCCAACCATGATGGTGATGTCAAAGCTCGTCCCAGCCGTCTGGTCGGATGGGGATTTGGGCCCCATCAGTTCACCGCCAGTTTCCCCATTTGGTTGATTTGATTATATATTTTTTTCCCTTTTCCGACTGTGAGTTATGTGAAACCAGTGACTCTGCTATTGGTAGGAGAGCGGGGCAGCCTGATTTAATTTCGAATTAATGCAGGAGCCTGAGGAGGCTGAGGAGGCTGGGCTCCAATCATGACACCCCTTGACGTGACCCTTACATAGCTGGTTTTTCCGGTCGGAGATCTGGTTTGAAATTCAAGGCTATGGTCAATAGGTTGGACTCGGCAAAAAACGACGATCTCTTGCCGATGGAGTCCGAGTGTTGATAGTACTAAATACTCCGTAGCGATGATCCGATCCAAGACCAACCAAGATTCAAGAAAAGAGAGAAAACCAAGGCTGAAATGGAATCAAACTCACGTGAGGCGGTGAGACCCACTTGTGTTTGTTATTTCCCGCCAGGATTCAGGCATCCAGGAATCAGGCTAGCTCGTGTCCTTGATTTCTGCCAGCCACCTGGTTTTCTTTCGGACTTATCTCCCCCTACAAAGTACCATCTCTTCATAAACTGGGATGTGGAGCTTGTAGGTAGCCTTGATTCACGTAAAGAGCCAATCACAAGAACACACGCAGGGGCAAATGGCCGCGGCGACTACCCCTCCTCACGAGCTCCGGTCGATCATCCGACTTTGGAACCACCCCGCAGTATTCGGTCATATCAACGCAATCCTGAATCCTTGATTATTCCTATCCCTATACTAGTCAACACGATCGTCATGCCGTCAGACTCACCTTATCAGCATCCTGTCATCCCTCCGCGCACAAGCTCCACCGGTATGACGGACGTCAACCATCAGGGGAAGCCCCTCCACGCGATCCCTGAGGTGGATCGCCCGGACAACGGCAACGGGGAGGGCCGACTACCAACGAATAGTAACATCCGGAGTAAGCACTCGCGACGCCGCTCGAGCATGGATGGCACCAAATACAGGGATGGGCAGTGGTCGTCGGAGAAGGAGCGGATTTTGATGGGTCCGTACGACTACATGCTGCAGAACCCGGGCAAGGATATCCGACGGCAGTTGATCAACGCCTTCAATGTATGGTTGCAGGTGCCGGCCGAGAGCATTGAAATTATCAATAAAGTGGTGGGTATGCTGCATGCGGCGTCGTTATTGTGAGTTCAACTCAAAGCCAGGGAGTGGGGGAAAGGGAACACAGAGGCTAATTGATGTAGAATCGACGATGTAGAAGATGACTCGATTCTCCGTCGCGGAGTCCCCGTCGCACACAAAATCTACGGCACAGCGCAGACGATCAACTCCGCCAACTACGTATACTTCCTCGCGCTACAAGAACTGCAGAAACTCAACAACCCAGAAGCAATCAACATCTACGTCCAAGAACTACTCAATTTGCACCGCGGCCAGGGAATGGACCTCTTCTGGCGCGACACCCTCACCTGCCCCAGCGAAGACGAATACCTCGAAATGGTCGGCAACAAAACAGGCGGCCTCTTCCGGCTGGCAATCAAGCTCATGCAAGCAGAGAGCCAAACCGGGCGAGACTGCGTCCGTCTGGTCAACGTCCTAGGCCTGATCTTCCAGATCTGCGACGACTACCTCAACCTCTCCAACCTCACATACACCCAAAACAAGGGCCTCGCAGAGGATCTCACCGAGGGCAAATTCTCCTTCCCCATCATCCACAGCATCCGCTCCAACCCGCACAACCACCAGCTCATCAACATGCTCCGCCAGCACACCAAGGACGACGAAGTCAAGCGCTACGCTATCTCGTATATGGAGAGCACGGGCAGCTTTGCGCACACGCAACAGGTTGTGCGTGACTTGCGCACTACGGCGTTGGGGCTCATTGATGAGATTGGGCGTAGTGGGCGGGGGAACCCGTCCGAGGGCCAAGATGACGGGGCCATGATCCGCGCGATTATGGATAAGATGACGGAGGCGACGCTGGCGGATACGCAGGATCACAAATAATACAGACTACACGGACCTTGGTATGTGTTGGATAAATTCGGCTTGTCTTTCTTCGTGGTTCTGGATGTACATATTAATACGACTGACGACCAATCTGCATGGCGAGTGGTTCTTAATTGATTATCCTATCCTTTTTATCATTTTCTTGAATAACACACAATGACATGACATGACATGTCTAGGTCACACATCTAACCAAAGGATAGTAGACAGTAGTAGAATCTGGGTATAACGACCAGCCCCTCGGGACCTTCAACCTTGCACATAGTAACATCCATCCTCGGCAAAGATCTAAATCACAAATATATAGTGTATGAAAAACCAACCCTACATAACAACACAACAAGCCTTCTCCAACTTGCGCACCACACGCGGCAAAACCCTCTGCACAACCTGCTCGACCGGATCCTGCTGGTTTTGACGCTGCGGCTGCGGCTGCGGCTGCGCGTGCTGGTGGTGCTGCTGACCGGGGTACTGGTGTGGCTGCTGGGGCTGGGACGAAGGTGGAGGCATGTGAGCCGGCCCGCCGGAGAGATTGACGTAGATGCGGCCGGCATTTTCCTCGGTGGTGTACTGCACGCCGAGTTCGCGGCAGACTTGTTCGACGCGCGGTTTGATCTTTTGGACGTGGTGGGTGGAGTGGTTTCCTTTTCCGACGATTCTGTATCATTCATTATATGCGTTAGTTTGATCTTTTTCTTCACTTCCTGTAATCTTTCCATATCCCAAATAGTATGTTTAAACTCACACATGTAAATGCGTCTGCCCATGCGCCTTGGCATACTTAATCCTCTCCTCAAGGATCTCTTCCGCCTCTTCAACAAACTGCCCATGCAGATCAATCGTATCCGCCTCGACGCGTCCATTGGCGTTATTCTCGCGGAAAATAAACTCCGACGCCTGGCGGTTGTATTCCTCCATTTTGCGACCGTGGGCCTTGCCTTGCTCGGAGAGCTCCTTGGCCCCCGCGCCGTCGCCGCTGGTGTATGCTTCTTGGGACTACATCGTGTATCATCCACGGGGGGTGCTCGTTAGTGTCCATTGTTTTCGTTTACTTTGGTTATGCGGGTTCGGTGAAGAGGGGCGCACTCGTTGGAAACATGATCCGCGCTTGTTGGCTTCTTGTCGCGCGAGATCGCGGAGTCGGTCGTACTCGGCTTCGGCGTCTTGGCTCTGGTCGTGGTTGAAGGCTGGGTTGCGTCAGTTTTGCGCCTGGGTGATACGTAGTAGGGTCTGGGTCTTTGAGGGGGTGATGTGAGATGGGATAAGGTGGATGGATGGATGAGCTGAGCTGAGCTCAGCTGAGCCGGGTCGACCAGGGGTTGATGGTTTCGATCACTAGGCAAGGTGTGTACTCACCCCTCGGGCCCATATGCGACATCTCGTGCATACTGGGATAGATTGGCGATATCGCGGGGATAAAGAATACGATTGATGGTCGGTTTACAGGGATTGAACGCGAAAAGACGGTGGATCAGAGACAGGAAGGGCAGAAGAAGATCAGATCGGGCATTTGTCTATTTACCGCAACGCCCCACAGTCCAACTTCGGGTGGCCATTCACGGTCGGCCAATGTCGCCCGTGTGGGTGGAGAAGCCCTGGCCCCGATCGGTATCTTATTTACTAGTCCCAGAAGAAGGTACGGAGCGTTTCCGAGGAGGAACAATTAATTCCTCAGTGGGATTGTGTCGACTTATAAACCCTCTCGGTTGGAATCCTTGGGAACTCTGGGATATACATCGATCGTGTTGGTGGTTTGCCCTCGACGATCTCTGACAGGTCAATCGCTTTCTGGAGATCTGATCGATTCATCCAATCCTGACAATGCATGTTATTGACCGATGCATCACCGATTTCCTCGTAATGTACGCCATGCCACGTATCGGGGGCGGTAGTCGCACATTCCTCCGAGCGATAAGTCGACCGCGCTTCTCCCGCTCGGAGCCATGCGGCGATAGCGGTTCCGTATCACGATCCCGAATACCGTGTGCGTCATGTCGCCACGACGCCACCCGAGAAGAACGAGCGCAGAAGGGTAGGTGTTAGGTACCATAATCTGGGGACACTGGGCCCGCCGGCGAAAGCGACTAGAAGCAATAGACAATGGGTCATCTGGAGCAGAACCATGGGCTCGGTTCTTGTACCTAGATGGACAGGAACATCCGGCGGTAGCATCTCAAATGAATACATGGATACGAGTTCTCTAGTCAGTATTCAGTGGTCATAAGGTAGTTGAATAAGGAGTGGGGGGTGGGGTGCTGATGAATGGACCTTTTATGCACGCTGGTTTGGTCCATCCATGATCCCTGTTGTGGCTCTTCATTTGTCTTCTTGAGCACTTTACATGACAAAGGAATGAAGGGAAGATATATTCCAAAAAAAAAAAAACATTAATCAATAAACAAAAATCAAAAAAGAATCAAAGAAGAAAGAAAGGAAAACAGGAAATGGTTTCTGTGCGGAGAAGAAAGAAAGATCGACGGCAATTCCAAGTGGAGGCCATTACATACCGTACAGTACCATCATTCTGCCAGAAGATTACCATGTCGGTACCTTAGGTATCTCCCGCCATATGGAGGATAGAAAATCCTCACCAGTCCGTGGCCACAGTCCATAGATGTAATACTTCAATTGACCATCTCAGTCCTCCTCCATATATGATTCAATCTAATAATGGTTAGCGTGCATTAAGGTTGCCTCATCCAGAACCCTAACCTCGTTCTGTCCACACGCCGGACCCTGGGTGACTGCTCAGTACAGTATGTGCCTGGCGATCTGGTCTCCACCGTGGTGGCGCACTGAAACAAAAAAGATGGCCTTTTGCCATGCCGAAGACCAATAAAAACCACCAACCAGACAACACCTCGTGCATATCATCATCATTCTTCCATGGCATCAGTTTCCCGTTCACTATGCTCCGAAATACCCGTTAGAGGATGAGGCGGGAGGAAGCTCCTGGAAGCTCTGAAACCTCCGTCACCCTGAATGCTTCCAGAAGGTGGAAAACAGACGACCAAGACGGATTGTCTCATGCCCTGCAGGCCACGCTGATCTGCACCGGCCGGGAAATTAAGTTCTTATCCTAGTTAGGAATCGGGAGAAATCTGCAGTCACCTTCCGGGGAGTAGACAAATGTCGCTTCTCCTGATATGGAGGAGGGGACCTAAGATAAGACGGTTTACTCCACAGTCTACCACACCTCCGACAGTCTTTCATCATCCAGCCGACATTGAAGAGGATACAGTCAGAATACCCGGACTGAATCAGTTCGTTGATGCTCTAATGAAAAGGGGAAGTTGGCTTCCTGAGGCATGATTGGTTCAAAGGGCTTCTCCTGTCACTCCACCCCCTTAACCCACCCACCAATCATGACTCTACCGCAACCCCCTATTGCTGATCCAGTGAAATTAATCCTCGTATTTCAGTTACAGAGTGTAATTTTGTGGTAACCTTACCGACATCCTTTCCTCTCTGACGATACCTGAGTTAGTTCAACTTCTCTACCCTCCTTTTCTTTCTTTTACTCCCTTCACTCACTCACTCTCTCTCTCTATCTTTCCTTTCTTTCTTCTTCTCTTCCTCTCTTTCTTTCCCAACTTCTCCTCTGGATCTCTCACCAGACTGACTCCCTGGAGTCGCTTCTGTTGGTAAGTCATCCATCCTCACTCTCTATAGCCTCATCATTTGTTCTTTTCTACTGTTTCTTCATCTTCCACCCTTCCCTCTTCCCGATCAGACCATATTTATTACTCCTGGGATGAAGGTGGAACAATTGGACCATCATCCCACGGTGATATCAATCCTTGCCCTTTTCTGTCTGCTGGTTTTCGTTTCGTTTGGTTTCGTCTCATTTCACCGTTACAACGCTGTATTACCTTACCCTACTTAGTCCACTCGGTTCCCTCTCTCGCTCTCTCCTCTCTCTCCTCTTGCGCGTCTACATTTTGAAATTTCCCCTTTGCTCTCATCCTTTCATTCTCCGGTCCTCCGCGGTCGCTTACACCCTTAGTAATAGTAATCTTCACGCCCTTCGTTTCCCTTCTCTTGTTGCTGCTTTTGTCAATTCATTCCCCCATCTCTCCGACAAACCAGTGACTTCCACTCATCCCAGTGAGTATCTCGCCCGTTCTGTCTCCCCTTGCATTGGTCGTGGCTGGACCACTCTCTCTTTCTCCTCATTCTATGAGACGGGTGCTCCCTTTAGAACTCCCTCCCACCACCAATCCCCCCCCAATTGATCTATCAATTGCACCTCCTTGCGTCTGGACGATTGCCAACCTCTGGTCTTTTGGGTGAACTCCTGTGTTTTTTTTGTTTTTTTTTTTTTTTGTTTCTTTTCGGAACAACTCGCAATTGAGACTACCATCTCGTGCCACGTTCGGACTCGCCGTCCATGCCCGATATCGCTCACCAAACCGGAGAATTCCTTTTCGCTGACGATTTGTTTCGATAGACTTTTGGAACTGAGTTCTGTGCCATTCACTTGAGATTATCCCATCGTTTACTATCAATCTTCATCCCCGCCTATCGTTTTCGTCCAACGCCGCCAACATGGGTTGTGGTATGAGTACCGAGGACAAGGAGGGCAAGGCCCGCAACGAGGAGATTGAGAATCAACTCAAGCGCGATAAGATGTTGCAGCGAAATGAGATCAAGATGCTCCTGCTCGGTATGCGAGACCCTTTCGAATGCGCGGGCGAGGACGGCTGGCTAACGGTTCCATCCAACCAGGTGCGGGAGAGTCGGGCAAGTCCACTATCCTGAAGCAGATGAAGCTCATCCACGAGGGCGGATATTCGCGCGACGAGCGCGAGTCTTTCAAGGAAATCATCTACAGCAACACCGTCCAGTCGATGCGCGTAATCCTGGAGGCCATGGAATCGCTGGAATTGCCCCTCGAGGACGCCCGGAACGAATATCACGTCCAGACCATCTTCATGCAGCCGCCTCAGATCGAGGGCGAGAGCCTGCCCCCAGAGGTTGGCAATGCGATCGGTTGCCTGTGGCGCGACACCGGTGTGCAGGAGTGTTTCAAGCGTTCGCGCGAATACCAGCTGAACGATTCGGCCAAATAGTGAGTCTGGCCCGCGCACCACTCCCCGAACCATGGTGCTAATCTGCGTCTAGCTACTTCGACTCGGTTGAGCGCATCGCGCAACCCGACTACATGCCCACCGACCAGGATGTCCTGCGCTCCCGTGTCAAGACCACCGGTATCACCGAGACCACTTTCCTCATCGGCGACCTGACGTACCGTATGTTCGATGTCGGTGGACAGCGTTCGGAGCGGAAGAAGTGGATCCACTGCTTCGAGAATGTCACTACCATCCTCTTCCTGGTCGCCATCTCCGAGTACGACCAGCTGCTGTTCGAAGATGAGACGGTCAACCGTATGCAGGAGGCGCTGACCCTGTTCGACTCCATCTGCAACTCGCGCTGGTTCGTCAAGACCTCGATCATCCTGTTCCTGAACAAGATCGACCGCTTCAAGGAGAAGCTGCCCGTCAGCCCCATGAAGAACTATTTCCCCGATTACGAGGGTGGCTCCGATTACGCCGCCGCCTGCGACTACATCCTCAACCGGTTCGTCTCGCTCAACCAGGCCGAACAGAAGCAGATCTACACGCACTTTACGTGTGCCACCGATACCACACAGATCCGGTTCGTCATGGCCGCGGTAAATGGTATGTGCTCTTTTTATCTTATATTCATATATTTCCCCCGTGGTGCCGACGATGCTGACTGCCATTAGATATCATCATCCAGGAGAACTTGCGGTTGTGTGGTCTGATCTAACCACGGATCCAATAAGGCTGTCTTGTTTTATCTCCACCTGGCTTGTAATCTGCTTTCTTTTATTATTTTATACCTCGTCGCAATTTCTTTTTTTTTTTTCTTTTCTTTTTGTCTGATTTTGAAGAACCTGGCGTTGAGACATTCATTTGTCTTCCTATTCCTTTTTCTACTAATTCCCCCCAATTTCCTTTGTCCTGAAATGATATCTAGCCGGCTCTTTGTTCTCAGCATTACCGATATCCACCCATGACACAGAGCAGGAGTTTTTATTTTTCATTTTTCTCAATTCTCTTTCTTACTTTTTGTTCTCTGCTCATTGAGCAGCGGGTAATTTGTGACTCCCAATTTCAAGGTCTTGTCAAACCAGGCCTCGAACGTATATGTTATTATCTCCCATTCCAATCACCATGGAAGAAACCCGCCATGTCTTATCGAACCCTTTCTTCTCTCTCCATTCCTCCCTTGTATGTTCTTCTCTCTGCTCGTGTCCTGGCTATCCATCCAACCCTCAATCTATCTCGATATCTTTTGTTCTCTCTCTTTCCCTCTTGGCCTCACAAGCTGGATATCCCACCCTCTGTCGGTGTTATCGTCGCAGAGTTTGTAGTCAGTGGCGATGACGGCGACTGGGTGGGGACGGCCCTAGATCAAGAGGACGTGGACCGTCATCTCATGTCTCCTTATAACTGTTTTCTTTCTTATGCGTTATGCCGGGCTGGTTGTCATAGTCAGAGTTTTTGTACGGATTGTGAAATATAAGATATGTCTGTCTTATTGTCTTGTCTTGTATTGTCTTGTACTTGTAGAGTGATGTACATACGTCGACTCCAACCAACTCTAGGCTATCGCGGGGAAAGAGGAGAAGAGAAACAGATAGAGAACTATATGTGAGCCTGTTTATAATACCAAAAA